GGTCATCTTAGGTCAACGCCCAAAAGTAGGAAAAATCTGGCCGCCTGCTAGAACTTAGTGAGCCGTAGCTGTTATCGGGGTCCCGAGTACGAGTTTGATGTTAGTCTTGAACAAAAATGATGACTCCATGCATTTTGGGTAGATCGGGTCGGGTCAGGTCAGGTCGACCAGCAGGCTTCCTGCCGGCCATCTAGAGTGGGTGACTGACAACCACCAACGATAACTTCGTAACATGTTACATGATCACCATTTATCAAAACTACTTCAAACGGTTCAAACGGGCGCTAAACTCGAAATCAGCCCCAAAAACCACAGTTGTAAGTGGAAGCAAATAAAACTCAAAAAGTTAACCAAGGTCATCCATATTCGATTCAGGGCAATTTTTTTTCTTAGAATAGGTGTAAAATTCATTAACTCGAGGTCATTGGAAGTTTCGTTGCAATATACTCCTTTTTGCGCGTCTTATTAGGAAAGCCCCAGAGGGATCCACCATTGACCCCATTTCCCCTATGCAGGCAGGTCCGAGGGTAGCAGGGCTGAGGCTAGCCAGGTACCTCGTAGTTACTGATACGTCATCCGACGAATCGACTGCAACCATTATTTTGACAATCAGACGAACGCTTGGGTCAGTTTTGACGAGCTCGCTCATTTGAGGGATAAAAAGGGACTAGAATCATATTGTCATGCCGATGTTCTAGCCCACAGCTTATTGACCTATAAGCAATAGGGACTAGGGAGCTCTTGAAGCGATTCTGAATCTGACGTTGTATTTGTTGATGTTGCTGACGCCAACTTCCCTGACATGATAGCTAAAAAAAGCATACTCAGCATCGCCAAAAGTGGGGGGTCGACCCCCCCGGTTCTGACGAGTGGGGGGGTCGCGACCCCCCCGACCCCCCCGTCGGCGACGCCCCTGACTATAACGTTACGTTTCACAGACCCGGAGAATGGCGACAGCCCATTCACTCAGAATGGGCACAACACAACAGAAACTGAAACCAAACTATAACGGCGGCGTTCCGACGCAGAAGAGGCGGCGAATTCAGCGCGCTAATAACGGCACCGATGCGCCACTCCGCGCACCGACCGACCCACGCAATGAATAAGAATGCCGCGTGCGGCCGACGGCTGACCGAGCTCAGTGGGGCCATGTTTCGTTCGGCCGGCGAGGCAATGACAGCGTGCAAGGCAGTCAGAAGACGCCGCACGCAAGTGATCTTTTGTGGCGTGACAGCTAACAGACGACACAAAGGGACAGCTAAACGCGCTAAAATGCATACAACAGAGCGACCAGCCGCCTGAATAAGGAGGACGTCCCCGGGAGCCGAGACGAAAACGGAAAACAATGCGACGAGAAAGTCGCGGAAGTACCGGTGAATGTATTTCCCCGACCGATTTCCAGCTGAGAAAGGAGCCAGTCCCGTTCAGTCCTCAGTTCAGCAGCACACGCAGGATTTCGACTGCGAGCGAACATACCGACGCCATTGCTCTATTCTGGGTCATGGTCGTTTTCCAGGCGATGGGTATTCAAATAACGAAATGCTTCGTTAATTTACCTAACGACCCAGTGAACGACGCAGTTTATAGCTATCCCGTTAGCGTGTACTAATCTAGAGAGTCACGACTGTGGAGGAATCGGCGAAATTTCTCCCCGGGGGCGGACACGATCGGGCGATCTTCGCTTACATGGCATAATTCATCATGTCGAGCGGTCAAACCGCTGCTGAATCGACACAGGGCCGCAATCGTGACACAGCCAAGGTCGGCGCTCAACGGGCAGCTTTGATGGCAGTGGCTTCCAAACAGAGCACTGACAAGCTCGGCTAACAGCGTCACTGGTTTTACGACGCCATGAGCTGCACGGTGCATAGCGACACTGATGGAGGGGTGCTCACTTTTAATTACCCCAGCGCCACGTCACGCAGTGTTGTTCTCCAGCAAATGGCGGCCCGGCTTCCGGAACCAAGCGAGTGTAACGCTAACGGTACGGAGAGGGCGATGCCATGTTCGGAAGGGAAATCGCACCAATTCACAATGATAAACGACAGATGCTGGGAGAAGCCCGTACTGCGGGGGCCGTTCAAATCCAGACCGATGTGTGCCGCTTCGCGGGCCGCGCCGCAGCTCGTGCCGCATTCGCTCACATTTACAGGCGGATTTTACAGCGCGAACATAGCACAATGCGTGGATGCGACGGCCCATTTGGCACGTGCAACAAAATCAATGCTGGCTGGGGCGGCTCGAGCTGCAGCTAGCCCCAGCTGCTGCAACCCTCGGCAAGGCGCCGTCCGCGCGGAGCGGGGCCCGTCGGACGGTCGGTGGTGCCGCGGAGCCGTTCAGCTGAACGTCTAACCAGCAGTTGGTAGATGGCAGCAGTTGCAGCAGCAGCAAAGGAGCCAATTTGGTGTCATCTGCTATATCTATTAGCTGCATGCGCCGATTCAAATGATTCAAAAATAAAAAAAATGTGTCAAACAAAGCTATTTTTCTCAAGTTTTATGATACCAACTGCATATAAACGAAGCGAAGAGCAATTACGAACTTGATAATGGTCCCAAGATCGAGTCCTACCCAGTTTTCGACATTGTGATAAGATACACTAACCATATAACATTCCAAATACTAGCTTTAGTGAATGGCGTCGTAGAATTTAAACAATTATTGCGTATTCCTACAAACACTTCTTTTAAAGCCCGACAGCACCTAAGCTCGGAAATCGAATCAAACTGTCAAGGGCCAATTATTGTTGCATGTGAAGTGGCCGTGTAGCACCGACCTACAACGGCGGGTTGGCGCGTGCACGGTCCTCACATATCGGTAATGGCCAGTCGAGGATTGAAGTGACGTAACCGGCATTCTCCGGCTAATAAATGTTCACCTTGTTATCCACTCTTTGGTCACGAAGCTCCGTACGGTACATTAAACACAGTTATTATCCGCTGGCGTGCCGCTGGTGATACCATTCCGAGAATGTCACGGTTCACAGCCAGATTGATCCAACAGGGTGGCAGCAGCTACTGCTTGAGGCCCTATGTGGGACAGCATTTTGACAGGAGCGCGTGGAGCGCGCGCTGCCAACGCCGACCGTATCCCTGGGAGACGGGTACGGGCCACGGGGCACAAACTGCACCAGCGGTAATCAGGACACTAAATATTTTTTTTTTTATAAATGAATTTAGCTCGATTGTTTGATGGACGGACTGACAGAGCCGGAGCCTACGCTAAGCAGAGCTTGTTGCGTGGACTTGGAACCCTACCGTCCAATCGCGCAGTTCTGGGTGACGGGAGAATATAAGTTCGTGCCCTTCAAGGCCGGACACGGCCTGTCCTACTCATGACTCAACTGACTTCAACTGGTTGCGACTGCTCCCACTAACCGCAGACCATCCCCGTCAGGAGTCTCAAATATCGAGCGCCGGAGCGCCCGGAGCTACTCGGGTCCGGGATCTCACTACCAGAAGTCCAACGCTACCGACTGAGCTATGTGACAGACAAAAATTTAACACCGAAGCAATGTGGGTGTGAACTTTCAGAAATGGCTCGTACAGATGGAGGTGGTAAGATGCACTCAATGATATTCTGGTTTTGTTCAGGATGAATAAAACATTTAAGCAGAGTATATGCCTAATATTCAATGCTTGTAAGCATTCAATCCCATTTAGTGCCAACAAATATCAAAATGGAATTACTCCTGAACTCAAGCATCACAAAATCAATCTAATATTTGAAAACTACATAATTTCCATACAATCTAAAGTCATCATTGCCCTCCAACATTATGCAATGGTAGCACATCAACACTGTAGTTCACAGGTACATGGCATTGGTGGATCACAGGAGATACATTTAGGGGTACAGCAGCATTTGGCTTTCCACAACATAAAGAATCAGAGCAGAAAAGTCTTATAAGAGAAAGAAAACCAAAACTTTAACTGAAACAACTTCACTTCAGATTAAAGTAAACAGTGATGCAAATGAAGGGTACCTATTCTCAGACATTTCAGGAAAATACCCTTTGGCCTTTGGGGGTCACCACACTTGCATGCCTCAACTCACCTGTTCAACTCACCTGTTTGGGGTTCCCTTGGTCTGAGAGTAGCCAAAATGAATGCAGGGATGGGGAGAAGGGAAGGAACCCGCATAGAAAGAGCTCGCCCGATGGATGAGAACACATCCAAACGGGAAAGTGAGCCCACAAGTGCCAAATGAATGAGTTTACAAGAGTGATAAGATACAAACAGCAACATTATAATCGGAACACAGTTAACGGTCATGGGACACAATTCATTTAGATACGCACTAGAGACTAGTATACAAACAGGGTATCACCCAGCGATACCCTGCCCATGGGCACCTCCTCGGCATTCCACCCCTATATGTCCAGAGAGGTAAAGTCCAGTAGAAACAAGAACTTAATCCTTCAAGCTGCCAACAAGTAAAATCAAAATGTCCACACAATTTTTTTTAAACAATATATTGTGACTACAAATGCCCAAATTACTGAAAATAATGTGAAAAGTTCCTCACTAGTGGATCCACTGCCACAGAAAGGGGCATTTCAAGTTGTAGCAGCCTTGTATAACTATTTGTTTTCTACTTACATTTCTCTTTTTGGTAATACGTGTTGATTAATAAACATTCTCTGTGTGTGTGTGTGTGTGTGTGTAGCATTTGTCCCTCTGGAATACTCAAAATCAACGTAATGTTGTTTTTCTTCACATAGAAAAACAATCCAGACAGGTGAGTTTTTAGAAATTAGTGAACACTGCACAAACTTGAATTCAAATTGAAACATAACAATAAGGAAAATGCCAATTCAAGGCGCAACCGAGCAACCTCAATGGCATCCATCCAAAGCGCCTTGCATCTTGCATCATTTAAATGTATAAGTGATGTTACGGTAATATTTTCTAGCAAATTGACCCATTCAAATTTATGCAGCTCCGACGTATGCCTAGAAACGATCGAAAATAAAAACAAAAAGGGTTTAAGGTACTCACATGGGCAAAAGTTGTCCAACAAATCAACAAAATGAATTAGGCGGCCTTGGTCCAACAGTGACTGATGATAAAAATTTCAAAATATCATACTAATAAGCACAAACCAATTACATCCAAAAACACGACCAAAACACCGGTAATAAGCATATCAATTGACGCATGACAGCACTGGAACCGTCTAATGCTGCTAGTGGTGAATCCTTTTTGTTTCATCATCATACTTGATATTTTGAGAATCGAAACTAATATTTAAACGGCTAGAGCAACAGCAACAGAATAAAATCTACTCAGTTCTACATGCTAAAAATAATAAAATGGAAACCTTTTCTTTAAGCATGTAAATGACTTCCAGCAAAGGTGTCAGTTATTACTCTTTTGCAAGCTCTTTTTTCTTAAAGATTTTTCAGCTCTAGATATCAGCCGTTTGTCAGTTTATTTTGCTTTCATCTGCAGCGCACTTGTGACAAACAATTTTTAGGCGAGCAAATTGTTCAGTTCATGGCGGCAAGGCAAGGGGCAAGGCAGTGGATGCATGCCTGTGGCCCTGGCTGTGGGCTGTGGCCTGTGGCTTGTGGTAGAATATTAAATTATACAATACATGTAGAATGCCTAAAGAATTAACATTGAAAATATATATAGCGATTATATTACAGTGCCTTAATATATGATTGTATTATAGCTGTTTATAGACTGAACGTAAATCCATGGGTTTTTCCCCATATTCATGGCATAGTACATGGATATGGGTTTTCCCATGTTGATGTTGTCTTGCTGTAAAAGTGGCCACCGGTCTTAGTTAGGATGGGCGGGTTTGTTTTGTGCGGCGTAGTTAGGTCGCCTCCCTCCTCGCGAGGCCGGTAACGTAAGGGCCACTAAAAAAAAACTGTTTATTGATATAGACTGATTATAGCGCATTAATATATGACTTTGTGTTTGTGTGAATGTTATTGTTGTGTATTAGGATGATGTCTCTTGTGACGTCATTTACTCTGCCTGGATTTAGAGAGTGTGCCTCATATGGAGAACCTTGGAAGTTGTTGTTCTTGGCCTTGTGTAGTATGGAAGAAACGTTCTGAGTAAAAAGGAGTCTTTGGAGTCAGCCAAAAGCATGAAGTACAATCGGAAGTAGCAGAATAAGGAAAGTACTGACCACTCGATACACAACAAAATGGCGACAAGGATGAGATTGTCCGTAAATGGCAAGTCGCCGAAACATGTCAGATGTAACAACTGTTCAAAGCCGGGTCATCTCCAAGCTGCGTGCAGGAACCCGAGTGCTGAAGAGAGAGTGAGGGTGAACTGTAATGAAGGTGACAAAGTAGAAGATGACGAGCAAGACAACTATTGTGTGTATCAAGCAAGCAGGGAGAAGTCAAAGGCGATCAAGGTGAGCATGTCCGTAAATGGCAAGGATGTGGAATTCCTGGTTGACACAGGATGCCCAGTGACGTTGATGCCAGACAGTGTGCTTCCTGGACTGAGTCTGCGGAAAGCTGGATGTCGTCTGACCTCATATACAGGGCACAAGATCCCTGTGCTGGGTGTCACAGATGCAGAAGTAGTGTACCAAGGAAACCAGAAGGAACTGGAAGTGCATGTGGTGGAAGGAGATGGACCTCCACTACTGGGACGTAACTGGCTGAAAGAAATCAGACTGGACTGGGAACAGCTGGTGGGAAGTATGCAATCTCAGAAGACAATGCGTTGGAAGCTGGAAGATGTTCTGCAGAGGAATGAAGAGCTGTTTGATGGTACGCTGGGTCAGATGAAGAACACTGAAGCTCATCTAGAGCTGAAAGAAGATGCCAAACCAGTGTTCCAGCCACCACGACCTGTGCCATATGGTCTCGCGGACAAAGTGAAGCAAGAGTTGTCAAAATGGGTGGAACTTGGAGTGACAAAAGAACTGACGTCAGAGGATGCAACGCCGAAGTGGGCCACGCCTCTCGTAGTCGTGCCAAAGCCGGACGGATCAGTAAGGCTCTGTGGAGATTTCAAGGTAACGCTGAACCCAAACCTGGAAGTGCCGAAGCACCCGCTGCCGAAGATGGAGGACATTTTTGCAACAGTGGGACAGGTTCGATACATCTCAGTGATTGACCTCTCCCAAGCGTATCTGCAGATGCCCCTCAGCACAGAAAGCCAGGAGTACTGTGTTCTCAACACACCATGGGGGATGCACCGTATGCTGCGACTACCATACGGGGTGAAGTCAAGTCCAATGCTCTTCCAGAGGGAAATGGACAGAATCCTCAAGAATGTGCCTGGAGTGAAGTGTCTGTTGGATGATATGCTCATCACAGGAAGAACTGAAGAAGAAGCACTGAAGCGACTGGACGAAGTGATGCAGATCATGAAGTCACACGGTCTGCGTCTGAAAAAGGAGAAATGTCAGTTTCTGACAAAGGAAGTCCGGTACCTAGGGCTCAGGCTAGGAGCCGAGGGCATCAGAACAGATCCAGAACGTGTGAAAGCCGTGCTGAACGCAAGAGCACCCACCAACCAGAAAGAAGTTCGTGAGTTTCTCGGTGCTGTCACGTTCTACAACCGCTTCCTGAAGAACCTCTCGAAGACAGCAAGGCCGTTGAATGAACTCCTGAAGAAAGACAGCGAATGGAAGTGGACTGCAGAGTGTGAAGCCAGCTTCAACAGCATCAAGAGACAGCTGTCATCAACGGAAGTGCTGCGTCATTTCGACGTGACGGAGCAGGTGACGGTGATCACGGACGCTAGTCCAGAAGGACTAGGCGCCGTACTCGTTCAAGGGAAGGATGAGCGGCCGATCATGTACGTGTCAAGATCGCTGAGTGAACACGAGCGGAAATACTCTCAGATAGAAAGGGAAGGACTCTGTGTAGTCTGGGCATTTCAGCGACTGAAGCAGTTCCTGTACGGGCGCCATTTCAAGCTCGTAACGGACAACAAGCCGCTAGCTCACGTCTTTGGACCTAAGGCGCCGCTGCCGACGTTGGCTGCCTCACGGATCCAGAGATGGGCGATGAAGTTGGCGGAGTACGATTTCTCTGTGGAAGTCAGGAAGTCGGAACAGATTCCAGTAGCTGATTGGCTCTCACGTCTACCGAGAGAAGGCTCAGTGCTGAAGTCAGAAGCACCAGAAGACGAGTGCACTGTCTGTCTGATCGGACAACTGGAGTCGCTAAGTCCGGTGACGGCCGCAGCGATTCAACGAGAGACGGCCAGAAGCCCAATCCTGGCGAAGGTGATGCACTTCGTGCACAACGGCTGGTCAGAAGCCGTAAATGAAGAGCTACAACCATTCAAGATGAGGCAAACCGAACTGACCGTGGAGCGCGGATGTCTAATGTGGGGATGTCGCGTCGTGGTTCCGCCGAACCTGAGATCCAGAGTGCTGAGCGAGCTGCATGCCGGACATCAAGGAATGGTGAAGATGAAGCAGCTCGGAAGGATGCACGTCTGGTGGCCGAACATGGACAAGCAGATCGAGGCGGAAGTCCGGAACTGCGAAGGCTGCTGGCAAAAGCGAGCAGAGCCACCAAGCGGAGATCTCCACCCATGGGAGTATGCCAAGGGACCCTGGCAACGGATACATCTAGATTTCGCTGGTCCTGTGGAAGGTAGATTCTACGTGGTTGTCATCGACAGCTACTCGAAGTGGATGGAAATCGCTCCAATGAAGACCATCACAACAGAGAAGACGATTGAATACCTGCTGAACCTGTTCGCTAGGTGGGGACTGCCTCACCAACTGGTCACGGATAATGGTCCACAACTCGTCAGCAAGGACTTCGAAGGGTTCTTGGAGAGGAACGGAATCAAGCACAGTGTCACAGCGCCGTACAAGCCGTCCACTAACGGAGCTGCGGAAAGAGCAGTGGGTTGTCTGAAGAACCTGCTGAAGGCCTCAAAAGGCAAGAAGGTCAACATCCCGAACTTCCTGATGGCGTACCGCAGTACGCCACAAGCGTCAACAGGACGTACACCGGCGGAGTTGATGCTGGGCAGGCCGCTACGAAACCGCCTGGACCTCCTGAAGCCCAACCTCGCAAGTGAAGTTCGAGAGAAGCAACAGGAACAAGTAGAAAGATCACAGAAGGGAACCGACAGAACGCTCGAAGTCGGCGAATCAGTCCTGGTCCGCGACTACCGAGGTGCACAGAAATGGAGGGAGGGAGACGTCATCGAACGACAAGGCAGTAAACACTACCTAGTCCAAGTGCAAGACGAAGTGTGGCGTCGACACATCGATCAGATTGTCTGTCTGCCAGGTGTCCGACCTCCAGTGACTAATCTGCGGCAGGAGATCAATCCGTCTGAGCACTGCAATCTCCCAGCGCAAGACGCACCAGCGGTGCAGCGGGAACATGGACCGCCACTGCATAGCGCTGTGGAACAGTCGGTAACTTCAACCGGTAACCGCGGGCTCGTGCTGGAGGAAGATGGGATCGCTGCAACACAGTCACCTGAAGCAGCGTCAGCAGCGAAGGCGAACACTGAACAAGAGACTGTAGGTCCTAGGGCACGTCCAGCGGACGTCATCCGGAAGACCCCAGAACTGCGCACTCATCCCCAGCGTGAGCGTAAACCTGTAGTGCGCATGAACCTGTAAAGTGTTGTTTAGTGGGGAGGAGTGTTGTGTATTAGGATGATGTCTCTTGTGACGTCATTTACTCTGCCTGGATTTAGAGAGTGTGCCTCATATGGAGAACCTTGGAAGTTGTTGTTCTTGGCCTTGTGTAGTATGGAAGAAACGTTCTGAGTAAAAAGGAGTCTTTGGAGTCAGCCAAAAGCATGAAGTACAATCGGAAGTAGCAGAATAAGGAAAGTACTGACCACTCGATACACAACAGTTATTGTTAACATGCATCATGCATCTTCATATTTGCTTTTAGCAGTCTTAAAAAGCATTACATGATTCATTGTTCATTCTCATTTTGATTTGCCAATGATGATTTAGATTTGAGTCAGAGGGAGACTGAATATAATTCATATGCTGCTCTTTTATAAATCAAAAATTTTGTATGTCATGTGTCAACTTCCTTTGGCTGTAAATTCTTATGGATTGGTGCAGGCCATGGGAGTGAAGTTTTTGTGCCAAGTAGTACCTACGTGTGCACTCCTTTCTTCTTCTTGTTGTCGGCTCCATCCAGTGGATGCGATGCTTAATTGCTTAGCCTTTTATCAGTTGCCAGTTAAACAATAGGTATCTTGGTTAAACACTTGAGCACTATAACGTCATAGCCTAGGCACCAAAGAATGGAAGGATGGTTATTAACCCTCGCCCGCACATGGGGGGGGGGGGTGGTTGCCACCCCCCCCAGGTAGTCTTTCTGCTCTGCACTCAACATTTTTAGAGCTAGAAGGCTGATTTTTCGTATAGCTGCTCCTCTATCCTTTCTTGATGTCCACTGAAAATTTCAAGTTTCTGTGATTTTTGGTTTCGGAGATATGACCTTGTTTTTCAGGTCATGTCATGACCCAAATGGCCAATTCTCAACATCTTGCGTTTGCCATGGGCCTTATGAGCTTTTGACACCCTGATTTCGGCCTTTTTTGCCAGTCTTACCTCCTACCTTTCATGGAACATGTTGTTCGACGATGTACAGGGGTCAAGGTCAGGGTCAAGGTCAACCTAGGTCACCTAAGATAATTGCGTTTTAGGCAAGCTGAATTTACATTTTTTTAAGTTTTTTGACTGCATTTTTGGTAAAAGCTTCTCAGATCATGATTTCATGTAATATGGACCCAAAAACAATCGGTGCACACATCAGTATACACACAAACACACACAGACATACAAACACATATAATTGACCTTGACCTAACTTGACCTGAAATGACCTCAGCAGCAAAATTCTGGTCGGGTAGTGTGACAAAGAGGTCCTAGCTGGCTTGGCACCAGAAAACAGCATCGTCATCGGTATTTGATAAGCAGCACACTTGATATCCAACGGTGACCCAAAACAGCAACATTTTTTAGTTTGACCTGACCTGGAAGGTCAATGACTGACCTGAGAAGGTAAAACTGGGTATCATTGGATTCGTCCCTTCCCAAAGAATCTTTTTGGTCTTTACTGCTAAGCTCTATCTCCAACAGGAACGAAATGGCGCGGGGGGTGGCAACCACCCCCCCCCCCCCCCCCATGTGCGTTCTAGGATGGGAAAATGGCATGTGCGGGCGAGGGTTAATGGATGTATTAACAATTATTCCTATCATTCCTTTGTTGTATTAACAAATATTTAAGCGGGGGGGGGGGGGTTCAATTGTGTCACCGTGTGCAGGTGGTTGGTGCATCTCTGCTACATTTTGGGCTGCAGCCCATATCAAGCAGCGTGCATGTGCTTTAGGCTCAGATTTATATTGATATATTGTGGGATATGAAGTTCTGGATTGTGGGGTAGGTAGGTACTGTGTTATGTATAATGTAGATGTGCTCCACTGCCTCTGTCCATTAGGCTTAAGATCAGGGGCGGATCCAGAAAATCTCCAAGGGAGGGGCCATTAGAAACCAGGAGGCCCCCCCCCCCCCCATAATCCCACCTGTTGGAGGCCCCATCTTCCCACTTGTTGGGCCCCCCCCCCAAAAAAACTGCGTCTATTGAGCTTATCTAGCTGTTCAGGCAACATCTCAACATCTGTGCAGGCTTGGAGGCCCTCTGTGCAGGTTAGGAGGCCCTGTAAAAGTGGTCATCTCTGTGAGTATAAGAGACCTCCAAGTTATGAAAAGCTTTACCAATCTTCTAACAAATAAGTCTTCTCAGCTAGTCTTCTAAGAAATAACTAAGTGGGTAGGTTAAAAAAAAACTCATCGGATTTCGGCCACTTTATTTTCAGGAGGCCCCCTTTTCAGCTTTTTAACTTTTTAACTTTTTATTTTATTTTTGAAAAAAAAAAATCGGCCAAGGGGGGGGGGCCATGGCCCCCATGGCCCCCCCTTGTATCCGCGCCTGCTTAAGATACTCATTGTAGATCAGATTCATCTTCTTTTATCTTCATTCACATTCATGATTTCAGTTTGTTTCACAGGGCTGTAGGTCAAGGTGAACCAATTTTATGAAAAGACACCTTGGCTAAAGAAGCATTGAAGCTTGTTTGGAACAATAGTTCTAAAGCAATATTTCTTCAATGTTTCAAGGAGTTGGTTGATGTTTGTTTGTAACCAGCAAACAAGAAAAGTGTGTTCTTTGAGTGGCAAGTGAAGAAAAAAAAACATGGAATTTGTCATTGGTGGACTTGCAGGATGTTGTGCTGGGGTTATCACCAACCCACTTGATGTGATCAAAACTAGAATGCAGCTGCAAGGGGAGCTGAAACAAGCAGGCAGATATGTAGTGCATTACAGGAATGTGTTCCATGCTGCCTATGCCATTGCACATGCAGATGACATCTTGGCTCTCCAGAAGGGGCTTTCACCTGCCCTTTGCTATCAAATGATGATGAATGGTGTCAGACTTGGCACTTTCCACATCCTGGAGGACTCTGGAATAATGAGAACCAATGATGCAGTGATCCCATGGAAATATGTGTGTGGAGGTGCTTTTGCTGGTGCACTCGGCAGTTACTTTGGCAGCCCATTCTATCTAGTAAGTGCAATATTTCCGTTTTTTAATGTTTTTCTTTCTCCTCTTTGGGACTTGCAACATGTGTTTTCAGTTTTGGTTAAATCTCTTGTTATATCTCCTTTCACTCAATTATTCCAATTATTCATAAGTCTTGGAGAATATAAGGGCAAAATGTAGGCAAAACAGCCTATTGATTATATTCAGTTCTGATTGGGTTGTATTGTGTGACTTACATTGTACAGTTTAAATTGTGGCAAACAGTTTAAATTGTATCTAGCATATAGAGCTGATTGTATCTGACTGTGAAGCACAGTCACACAGTGTCCACTGTCCCCTCGTCTCTGCTCGAGTCACTATCCTCTCCCATCTGCAGGTGAAGACGCACCTGCAGACCCAGAGTGCGACTATCGGGGTGGGCCACCAGCACCGGCACGGCGGCCTGGCGGCGGCACTGCGCGCCATCTACGGCCGACACGGCGCGCGCGGCCTGTGGCGCGGCAGCGTGTCGGGCCTGCCGCGCGTCATGGTCGGCTCGGCCACCCAGCTCACCACCTTCTCCGCCTCCCGCGAGGCCATCGAGCGAGCAAAGGTACGCCGGGACGGGGAGCATAGAGAGACGAACCGCCATAGACTGTCTTACGCACCCAGGGATCGAGGGATGAAGTCAGAGCAGAGTAACGACTGGAAGAGACGTAGTCGGCATTCTGATGGTCACTGATCAGTCCATTTGCCCGGGAAGCCGGTCTGTTTAGGGTATGCTATTCTTACACCGATTTCTGGTAATAATTTCTCCAAGAACATCTTGTATGCTATATAACTGTCTGTCAAGAATTATTTCTGTTGTCGCATTGTCACACTGTTGCCGTTTTGTTTGTATCTGGCTGCTGCCCTTTGCCAGCTGATTGAGGCTCGTTTGTCTGAACCTATCGCTCCCCGTGTGACCAGGTGCTGCCACCGGGGAGCTTCCTCTCCACGCTGGCGGCCAGCATGCTGTGCGGCGCCGCTGTCGTCGTCATGATGACGCCCTTCGACGTCATCGCCACGCGGCTCTACAACCAAGGTCAGCGGGCTCCGCAACTGGCCCTACAAAGGCATGACATTATTGCGAAGTATGGATGCACATTGCACGGCGTATGAAGCAATATGCAACAGGCTGTAGAGTTGGCGATGTCTTTCCACTTCATTCATCTTCACCCGGTCTTATGCATAGTTCGTACTAACAAAAGCGAGAATGGATTACAGGGTATCGTGAAATTATTTGCCCCTCCATCTGCTCGCCGCCATAATTAATAAACAGAACCCCCGGGTCATATTGGTTTATTTACCGATTTATCCCCTGCCCTGTACTACCCATTCCCTCATCCGTTTTAGCATTCCATAGATCAAGATGTCATGAGTATCCGCGCTGATGTTCAGCCACACCTTTCACAGGCTCCTCTAAAGTCCGTTTTCTGTGGGAACTGGTTCAATCTTGCTGAGCTCCTCCTTCGTGATTCCCCATAGGATTTCGATTGGGATTAGGAGAGGTGATTCGATTTGACTTCCTACTTCATTCCAGTCTTCACCATGGCTCTGTTTCACCGGTGATAGCAGCACGCTGCTATTACACGTGTCAAATTGGGTTTCCATGGAGACGTCAACAAGCCTATTCCTCCAACACTACCAGAAGTGTGACGTCAGCTCGCGAAATGGAATAGCAGCGTGCTGCTACCACCGGTGAAACTGGGTGTTTAGGCGACGGCGGCGGCGGCGGCAATACGCTAGCGGCAGCTATGCGCATTAAGTCGGAATTAATATTCAATTAATTCTTAAGTATATTCAGTTAGGCAAAAACACATATTGTTCGAGCAGTTCCGCCAGCAAAAACTGGGCCCACGACCCAGCCGCTATTTCTTTATTTAAACATTCTCGTGAATGACATCATAATGAGACCTCACTCTCGGAGGCAACGAATTTAGCAATCGGCCGAACATCCTCCCTCCCCGTGGAGCAACGTTTGCTTCACCTAGCTATCACACTAGTCACAGTCATCTAGTCATCACATCACATTATGTACTCTCAAATCACATCACACACTAGTCATCACTTCGCCGTAGGGGGCAGAGGCGCGTGATGGACCGGGTGTAAGTGCGGTCTCCGATTCTGACCTCCACAGTCCGCACATGCCCATCGCGGCCGGGATGAGTCCGCTCCACCCGTGCCAGAGGCCAGTGTCCGCGGGGGCTCGTGGTGTCCAGCACCAGCACCACGTCACCTTCTTTGAGATCTGGCCTTACGTCGTGCCACTTGTGCAGCCTGTTGAGATTGGGGAGCATTTCTCGCAGAAATCTCTTCCATGTCTTGCTGAAAACTCTCTGAGTGTGGCGCCATCTCCGTCTTGGAAAAGCAGCTTCTTTTCCTGTAGCTGAGAAGCCAAGGCACTGTCTATTTGACCGACCAGAAGGTGATTTGGTGCCAGGGAACTGTCGACCCTCGGATCGGAGCTCGGATACGTAAGCGGAGGCGAGTTCAGAAGGCTTTCGATCTCTGCTAGGACAGGCCGGTCCGCCTTCTGCAATCTTCCTCCCATGGTCATGACACCAGACTCTGACATGAGTGGCAGCAGCTCACTTAGTTTGCTGTAATTGTGGAGATCTCGTTTTGCTGCAAGGGACGTCTTTGCCTCGCCGAAGTCTTCTTTTCGTGCGTGCTTTAGCCGGAGTTTCTGTGCCTTCTCAAGTTCCAGAGCCGTCAGTTGTCCTTTCAAGCGGTTGGCTTTTGCAGTGCGGCAGTTCCGCGCGAATCTTTGGACCCAAGCGGTGACGGCTGTCAGGTGACTCCAGCTCGAGGAGGCGCCTGGCTGGAGGAGGGGCTCGGCAGACTTCGCTGAGGACGACATAACCACCTTCTTCTCTTCTTTCTTGGCGTCTTCGGAGGCAGAAAAGACTGGTGTTTTGAGCCAGCCCTCCGATGGCCGATGCAGAGAAGCTGGGCCGTTTATCCAGCGATTTTCAGCTTTCATTCCTCTGACGCTGAGGCCACTTGAGCAGTCGTCTTCACCAGCAGGATTCTTCAGTCCCGAAACATGTCTGGACTGACTAGAACATGTCTTCGAGTTAAGGCTGCTACTGTTGAGTTGGGCAGCAGAATTCGTTACGATGCTTACGATGACGATCGTTAGGATCGTTATGATCGTTTCAATGTTCGTCTGCCTGACTCCTCTCACGACGGGGAAATGAGGCCAGGCGGGTCCATTGCAATCGTTCTCCTTTCCTTCCACCAACCTCTCATAACCTTTCCCCAAACTTTCTCTCTTTTTCTCTTTATACTTCTTGATCATGTTCGGTTTACTCTCGGGGCTTTTCTCCAGCGAGCCGATACGAGCGAGCGCCGCTTTTCTGTTGTCCGGCAGAGTGGGTCCATCTCCTTTCCACGGTATGCCGATTTTGTACCGGTACCCATCAAAACGAAGCGGCTGGTCCGCTTTCTTGTCAGCGGTTTGCTCTTCTGGTGACAGGATCTTGTTTCGCTCTGTTTCGTTCCCACTCACTGTAGCATCGTCTACTTCCAAAAAGCTTCTCAGCATAATTTCAGGGCTTTCTTCTACTGCTGAGGCGCGGGCTGTTACACGGTTCATAACGTCAGCTGACCCGACCGGGCCAACACAGACCCAGCCCAGAGGCGTTAGCTCTGCGACTGGCGACTGAGAAGGCCCGCTTCGCCTCTCGAGTACGTGGTGCAGCTCGGGGTAATCACTGCCGATGAGTAACTCGACAACATTCGGGATGGGCGGCTCCATGAATGGAATCTGGCTGAGGTGAGTCCATCTTCTTTTTTCGTTCGCCCAGTTCGTCACCTTCATCCCGCCACACACAACTGGAATAGTCCAGGCCTGGACCACTCCGACGAAATCGTCCTGTCCTGCGGGTCCTAGCTCTAGCCCTACTTCAGTAGTGCTCTGCTGCATCACATTTCCTCCCAGAGTTGTAATGTTGATGCTCCTTGGGTCCCACTGCGCTCCTAAGGCTCGAGCAACGTCTTCAGAAAGGTAAGTGGTGTCTGAGCCACCGTCAAGGAAGGCGTTCACCACCATTTCTTTACCATGGTGCTTTATCCGTACCGGTAAGGTCCGCAGTGCTACGGCGTTAAAAGTACCCCCCTGTATGCCGCCCAGTGTGCCGGCTGCCGTTCGAGATGGTGTCGTGGCGTCACCGATCTGCCGTTCGTCACAGAGGAGCGGGTGATGCGGCCTTCCGCACCCACAGCGGCGGCTTTGACGGCAGTCAGCGGAACGATGACTTCTTTTTAGACACGAGAAGCAAAGTTTGCTCTCTTTAGCAATGCTCCAGCGTCCTTCCATATCTTGATCCAGGAAGACCTTGCACTTCTCCAGCTGATGATCTCCATTCTTGCATATGCTGCAACTAGCGCTTATTTTGACGGCGAACGTGCGTTTCCGAGGGCTCTGATTGGTTCGTCCGACCGCTTCATCACTCCGTCGGCTGTCGGCTGTCGGCTGTGACTTCCTGTAAGTCTCGCTTAGCAGACTGGCTTCGGCCCGGCGCTGCAACCACGGCTCCAGTGTCACCAGATTACAGGCCTGTTCGGAGGAGACACACATCTCGAAGAATGCATCTCGGTCTTTGGAAGACAGCTTAGCCACTACTTCTCTGAGAAGGGTATCGGAATAAATGTTGCTTGTATCCCCGATGTTGCGTAATTTGTTCAAGGATGATGTAACCGCATCTGCAAACTCTCTAAGGCCGTGTGCCGATCCACTGCTGGACAGGCCTTGCAGTGCTCGGAGGCGCTTGAGGCTGTCTTGGATCAGGCGATCTCTGCCGCCGAAGCGCCGCTCCAAAATCAAGAGGGCCGAGACATAGTCTGCCTCGGAGAAGGCCAGACCACCGATGGCGTTTAGAGCAGCGCCACGGAGCTTGTCTTTTAGACGGAGCATCTTCTCCATTGCCGACATGTTCGGGTTATTGGCTACCAAGACTTTAAATGCGGCGATAAATTCAGGGTATGCGCAAGGATCTCCATCAAAAGGTAGCATCTTAACGGGCTCGAGATTGGGAAGGACAACAGAAGGCTGCGAACTTTTCAGATAGTTTTGAGCCCGCCCTAAACTGGACCTCTCCAGTGCCTCTAACTGAGCCCACGATTCGAGCTCCGTCTCCAGTGTCTCTTCACTCACCTCCGCTAAGAGCTTTTCATAGCTCTCTGTCAGTGTGGCTTTCTTTTGCTTCACGCTGTCTAAGTAGACTTTTACTTCTTCCCTGCTCTTTTCTTCTATGATCAGAGCGTCTAGTTCTGTTAAACTTCTAGTTAACATTGCTTTCTTGGCTCTTACTTGCTTTTGCAACCTGGCTTCCATGGTGCTATTTCGTTCTTGGCTGGTCTTATCGAGATCCGGCCCGGAGGACCATTTGTTTAGGCGACGGCGGCGGCGGCGGCAATACGCTAGCGGCAGCTATGCGCATTAAGTCGGAATTAATATTCAATTAATTCTTAGGTATATTCAGTTAGGCAAAAACACATATTGTTCGAGAAGTTCCGCCAGCAAAAACTGGGCCCACGACCCAGCCGCTATTTCTTTATTTAAACATTCTCGTGAATGACATCATAATGAGACCTCACTCTCGGAGGCAACGAATTTAGCAATCGGCCGAACACTGGGCCCATAACTTTAGTGCGATGACGCTTTGTCAAAGCGTTTCTTTCTTCATAGTAGACACCACGTTCAGGTGCGAGTTATGCCTGCCAAACACTGGCCCCTGGCGCCTCGCAAGTGGGGCATTCCACGATAGATCGACCAAAAAAAAACTTAAAATTTACACCCGCATATTTTATTTTTTGCTTAGAATTGGTCTAATGGGTTGTGATGGGCGGGGAACCCAGCTGTGGCAAGGATTTTTTTCTTCGAATAACGGTTTCCGAGATATAGCCTCGGGCAGTTCCTGGAGGTCACGCTGCAACCCTATGTTTGGCGGCTTATAACTCAGAAACTATTGGTTTTCTATGGTAAAAACTTGATATGGTTCGACTCGCAATCAACCAACAAACGTTTTGGCTATCTCGGATTTTCGAATTTTGAAAATTTTGATCACGTGACATCTTGACCTTGTTTTCGAAGAGTGACCTTGATATTTTCCCAACTGAAAGTCGCAATTTTGTCTGATGACGATTAAAGCCTTATCAATTGTCATTCATATGCGATAATAAAAAAGTGGCTTTCGGCCTGCGTTGACCTCAGGTCAGGTCATTTTATGACCTTCCCATTATTACGAGCGGGAGCGACAGCGAGATCTCGAGAACAAAGCAAGATAGCGACAAGCGGTAAACGGCACAGGGTACACATGGATAAGGTCTACAATTTTTACCCAGGTCATTTTCAGGTCAGGTCAAAGATGACGTCACAGGGGTAAAAAGAAAGTCTAAATGGCAGCACTACATATATATGAAGTTTTTCTCGAATAACTTTCGAAGTATCCCAGCTATGAACAAACTAATAGCACCATCGTGATCCTCTCGTCGATCCGCATCGAAACATGTGTATGTTGACCTCGAAAGGTCAAGGTCAAAAGTTGACCTTAGGTCACGTGACCTTAAGGTCATCATATATATCATTCGATGGGCCTTGACGAGCTGAACACAATGAGCCTATCAGCGCGGCTGTATCTCAAACCTGTAAGGAGTTATCAGCAAAAAACATTTGGTGACCTTTAATGACGTCACATGACCCAAGAGCAACGTCACAGTTGACCAAGAGCAAAAAAGGTCTCAAGGTAGTCAAAGTTAGTCGCATATGGAGTCACTCATGGTATATTAGGCAATTCCGACGCGTTTTAGTGTAAAAATAAGGGAGCTGATTTTTCCCCAATTGACTTATAATGGGGTGGTCAAGAAATTGACCTGACCTCAGGTCATCGGTAGGTATCGAAATTCAAAACGAACTGGCGCTAGGCGAAAGCAAACGGATTGGTGCCTATTCTACGTCTCTTTCTTTATTAGATCAAAGGGTACAGCCAAAACTATTTTGACTTACTTTTTACCCCTGTGACGTCATCTTTGACCTGACCTGAAAATGACCTCAGTAAAAATTGTAGACCTTATCCGTGTGAATCCTGTATCGTTTACCACTTGTCGCTATCTTGCTTTAGTCTCGAGATCCCGCTGTCGCTCCCGCTCGTAATAATGGACAGGTCATAAAATTGACCTGATCTCAGGTCAATGCAGGCCGAAAGCCAATTTTTTATTGTCGCATATGAATGACAATTGATAAGGCTTTAAACGTCATCAGACAAAATTGCGACTTTCAGTTGGGAAAAAATCAAGGTCACTCTTCGCAAAAAAGATCACGATGTCACGTGATCAAAATTTTCAAAAATCGAAAATCCGAGATAGCCAAAACGTTTGCTGGTTGATTGCAAGTTGAACCATATAAAGTTTTTACCATTGAAAACCAATAGTTTCTGAGTTATAAGCCGCCAAACATAGGGTTGCAGCGTGACCTCCAGGAATTGCCTGAGGCTATATCTCGGAAACCGGTGTTCGAAGGAAAAAATCCTTGGCACAGCTGGCTTCCCCGCCCATAACAACCCATTAGACCAATTTTAAGCAAAAAATAAAATATGAGGGTGTACGGCTTTGGTCGATCTATCGTGGAATGCCCCAAGTGTCAAGGTCAGGTGGCCAGGTTAGGTCAGTGACTAACGGACAGCTGTGGATAGCCTGAGGCACGGTCTGAGCAAATTTTCAACAGTTCTTAAAGCGCATGGTGGGATTTAGCTGAATGAACAAGGGGCAATTAATTTCAGGACACCCTGTATCCGAGCAGTTCGCACTTCACCATTATTGTTACGGATAATAGCATTGCGCCTTTCACTTTGCGTAGCTGCACTTGAAAAAAAAATTCATGGTTCGTATTCTGCTGCCATCACTGATCACATATAAAGCTCGACTGTGATATGATTTTGTGATAGGGTATCCAGGTCTAACACCACTCCACCACCCCGTATGCAGGCGTGGACAGCAGCGGCCGCGGTCTGCAGTACCGCGGATACGTCGACTGCGTGCTCAAGATCCTGCGCTCGGAGGGACCGCGCGGCTTCTACAAGGGCGTGACGGCCAACTGGCTGCGCGTCGGGCCCCATTCGGTGCTCAACATGAGCTTCTGGTCGTACCTGAGGGGCGTCCTGGGAGAGGCCCGTGCCGGGGATGAGGGGACAGCAACCGACTAATGCCGGGGATGAGGGGCCGGCGGCGACTGACTAGTGTCGGGGATGAGGAGTCGGCGGCTGCCGACTAGTGCCATCAGCGTTGCCCGGGCCGGCCCCGAGAGATTCAAGTGTGAATTTTATGGAGATTATCTGTTGCTGAACGGTACAGTTGGCCAGATGAGGTGACGAAGTGCCGGTAGAATTGGGCTACAGCTGCGGCCGACGCGGCGATCAGATGTTAGCCGCCTCTGAACTCAGCGCTCGGTCAGTGCGGAAAACGCCTTTTTCGCCGGCCATACGTTGCTTGGTGGCAACGGAATGTCTTCCAGGTCAGTAAGTGCCCAGTAGCGTTTATAGTCATGCAGTTTAGCAAGGCTTTTGTGGATTAAGGTTGTGTTCGTACAATCACCGCACAACTTCGGAGTCGCCCCGCGAAAAAAAAAAAACAGTTTTAGAAACGATTATCTTGTTTCGTGATCATTGCTGCCTCCTGGGTCACGTGTGTCAATGGATGATGCATTTCACGATTAATTTGGTGTTACCTACGTTCCTACTTTCTTATATATTTTTTAACGATGCATAACATGTCGACATATTAGTGTATGTTAAATATAGTGGCAGCTCTTCAGTCAGTCTCCATGCTGCATTATGTAACGTTTGTTAGTCACCCTTATTTACTGATTTGTGCAATATGTATGGCTGTCATTTTATCGTATGTGATAAATGAACAATAGATAATGCATGGGCACTGTGAACTGTCTGATGTTCTGAATCATTGATACGTCAGCGTCCAATAGCGGCGGAATACCTTCAATTAAGGCCGGGGGGGGGGGGGCACTGCCGACTTTTGGTCCCATTCTTTCCATGCAACGCCCATAGGGCTAATGTTAAAATGCCAAAATCAAAGGGGGCACGGTGGCCGGGTGCCCTCCTCGTTTCGCCGCCTATGTTAGCCTCCATTGGTCCATTGTCCATTGGGACCATTGTTGCTGTTCGCAGCAATGCATCAATTGCACCTTGTATCCATAACGGAAATCGTCGCAATACATTTTGTGAAAGCGTACTTTGCTGTTCGTCATTGTCTTTCAACAGTGCCCTTCACACGTGAAACGACACGAGGTTCGCTCTCCCTGCTAACTGCGCCTTAACAGTTGTACACGGCTGGTTTGTCTGTTTGTCAAAATACCCTGCTTCCAACTTACCGTCAACAGTCACCAATCAACTCCCTGTTCTGTCTCGGATGATTTGTCCGCTTTCTGTCATAGTCTCAAAAAGGTCTCCTTCACATGGTCACGCGATGTATTCAAACAGTGATGAGGCGGTAACAATCGGACTTAGTAGGGCTTCTGTTTGTGTTTGCCGCGCTGTTTGTGGGTGGGCGCCTTGGCGTCTCGGCGCTGCGAGGAGCTGGGCCTGGCGCCGGGCCTCCAGAGGGTCAGCATACCGCCCTCGCCGCCCGTCACCAGCTCACCAGTCTGAGGAACCAGGGGGGAGGGGTGTCAGTGTCAGTGTCAGCATACCGCCCTCGCCGCCAGTCTGAGGGACCAGAGGGTGTCAGTGTCAAACAGAGGACGTAGAATGTGGGATCTGGGTGAAATACGGATGGCACCGGGGGAACCGGGAGACCGAAGCTGCATTGGCGTAGACATTACCGTTTGGGACAGGGGAAACAATACAGTGACACCATGAATTTACGGATTACATTGAAACTATTCACGCAAAGCGACGCTGAGCTTCCCGACGAGGTGGATGGTAGCCATAACCGACTGAGCTACATGGTATGGCTGTCAATCCAGAGGCTGACGAAAATACATCAAACACACACGAACTAGGCATGAGAGGCTGATGGCATCGAGCTACAGGATACCAACCAACGGATGGGTAACACAAACACACATCCTGTTTTTTCTCCATCGATTATGTCCTATCACTGACGATAAGCACGATCAGCCCCAGCACCGTGACGCGGTCCGCCGCTACCCACCCCGCCCCGTCTTACCGCCGGGCTGAAGGCACTGGCGCGCACCAGCTGCTGGGTGACCTCGGAGTCCTCGAGCAGCGCGTGCGGCGTCAAACGGTCGCCGTCTATCCGCAGCAGGCGCAGACAGCCGTGACTGCGGAAGGACAAGGGCGTTGGAGATCACGCATCGCTGGTTTATTATCTGCACACAGGTGATCCGAGCGAGCTCACAGTTTGCAGGCATAGCGATTAGAGATGTCGCTGCTAGTCAGGGTGCAAGTGACGCTCGTTGACGCTCGTCCATACATGGTGCCTATCGTTTGCCTGTTCCGATACGAACACTACGCAGGCATTCTAACAAAATATGTATATAGCACCGAAGCAAAGTATATGTAATCAAAAGCGTCCTCGTATAATCTAGAAACAAAACATCAGACTGTACTCCATATCAAGGCTTACACGATCAACTACCTCCGTTATTTTGCACTCAGTTCAGGCCCCCTGCCATTCTCTGTCGCTCAGCAGCTCACCCTTCTTTGGTGGTGGCTCCGGCGACGGCCAGGACGTCTCCCTCGGCGGTCTGGTGGCAGCTCTCTACGTAGCACACCTCAGACATGGTCCGCTGTGGGTCAGGGGCGCCAGTGTCACATACATTATACATAGCACAGCTCCGAGTCGTCCGCTGTTGGTCACGGGGAGCGTCCCCATCACGGGCCGCGCACACAGAGAAACGTAACATCAATCATCATGGACAGGCGCACAGGAGTTTGGATCGCATGACAGATTAGTGCAAGAAGAGACGTCGGATGGAGAAGGCGAATTGATTCGTAAAACAGATCGTCGCAATATGTTTCACAAATCACGAGACATTGCACGAAAGCTTTAGAAAAAACAGCCCTCGAGACATCCCAGATATTCAACCACTGACTATTCGTAAAAATTCATAGAATTACTGAAAGCTGCTGTAGAAACAGTGCAGGTGTGATTTCCTGGGCTCTGGATTACAAGCACTCCCCTTCCTCCGACCGCTGCCCACTGTCGCTCGACCATCCGCGATCAGTGGCCATCCGCGTGCTCACCCGAATGGCCTGTGCGACCTCCTGCCGTCCGAACTGGGCAGTCCGCTCCGACTCCTGCAGGTCCCAGAGCTGCAGCTCCTCCGTGTCAAGCACCACCGCCAGGTGACGGCCGTCGGACCGCTCGTACCTGGGAGAGGGCGAGGACCGTGATACTAACGACAGACAGTACACACTACACACTACACACTACACAGCACCACGGCCAGGTGATGACCGTCGGGCCGCTCGTACCTGAGGGGGGGGGGGAGGTTCGTCTTATAACACTGTCAGACTGTTACACCACCGCCAGGTGACGGCCGTCGGGCCGCTCGTTCCTGAGGGAAGAGACGCCGTGGGTTTATCGTACAACCTAACCAGACAATGCACTGTAATACAGGCACATGGGGCGGCCGCCCCCGCTCGTACCTGGGGGCATGGGGTCAGTGGGGTCATGGTATAACTCTGCCAGACTTTAACACCACAGCTAGAAGGCAGCCGCCGCACTGCTCGAGCCTGGGCAATGAGCGAGACCGAGTCATTGCTCCAGTGGCAAATACTGAAATGGTACGCCGAGACTGGCAGCTAAGCCGCCGTTGTAAGCCCCTGCAGTCGCAATCATACACTTCCGCCAGCATTGAGTGCAGAAGATCCATAGTAAATACAGTGAGCACATGACAAACATAGCATCAGTTCGTCACAGCCTGACTCGGCGAAACGGTAATGGCATTTATAAGCGGATTAAGCATCAACCAGATACCAGAGCGTGCCCCTGAATAGACAACCCTAGAACGAGATATTGCATATGGATACATCAGTGCACACGACTGCTGCACTCACTGCCCACGTGATTTGAACACGTCGACACCATCCATCGCTCGTTTGCATCACGTGACCTCTCGCTGACACCAGCCTCTGTCGGTCTCTGCCCATCACGTGACCTCGTCAAACGCCAGCCTCTGAGTGTGTGACTCACCACGTGACTGAGCTGACGGAGGACTCGGTGTTCAGAGTCGCCTGGAGCGCGTCGTCCTCGGAGGTCTGAGTGACGTCGAACACGTTCACGTATCCGTCCGTGGAGCCGGTGGCCAGCGCGCCGCTGTCGGTCGGGTGGAAACGTACCTGGGGGGAGAGGGCGCAGTGTCACAGCGTGAGCAGTGCCGCCCGGGAGGCGGGGTCGGTAAGCGGGCTGGGTGCAATGGTCGAGACAGTACATAAATATACTGAGCTTCGATATCATTTCAATCTTTTCTCTGATTCCGTATTCTGTCTAACGAGGCGTGACATAATCCAGCGGTACAAACAAATAGTACGTCGAAACAATACAATGGTACAGATAATATAATAAAGTACGTCGCGAACGAAACAAGTAATCCGTTATCACAACAGTCCACCCTTTCTCTTATCGTAGCCGTTTCAACAGTCCAAATCTACGGCATCCCTTCTACCGCAGCGTGACGATCCTCAGATCTACGTCCATGACACCCAGCCTCTCTCAGTCACCAACACCGTTCCGTTCCATGCTTCTATCCTCAGGAAACTGAAATCCTTCTCCTTCACGCCGCAACCCCCACTCCGGGCTGGACAGGCACCTTTATCTCATGCGGGCTGCTCCCTTGGAGCGGCACCGCTGCTCCCGAGGGAGCGCACCCCGTAGCCGGGTGCAGAGAGTGCCTGGGGGGCTGATCGGCCTGTCCATTCGGACGGGCTCAGCCCCGGCGACTCTCTAGGGTGTCTGCCCAGACCAATGTCTCCCCCTAATTCCTATCATCCTTCCGGCTCTGCAATGGTCTTGTCAGACCGAAAGTGTCTAACCCAACAAAACAAGTCACAACAGTACAATTTCCCTCCAGTACCCTAGCCGCGGTTCACAGCTCCCTCCCAGAGCTCCCCTTGCCGACGTACCGTGGAGAGCTCGTCCGTGTGCGACTCCCAGTAGCCTCCGAGCGGCGTCGGCTGTCGCACGTCCCAGAACACCAGGTAAGCGTCCTGGTCCACCACCTCAGTACCGGCGCAGAGGAACCGGCCGGCCGCATTGGCGTCCACGCAGGTCAGCGGCTTCCGCTTCTGTAAGGTGGTGTCTGTGGAAGTAGGGGTTGCAGAGTCAGAGAGCGGCAGTGACGGAGCGTCAGACGGCGCTGCCGCAGCACTCGTGGTCAGTGTGTGTGCTGTCAACAGGGACAGACGCGTCGGCGGCGGGCCAGGGACCGGCCCCGGCCCGCTGCCGGGTCAGCCGTCAGATATCCGTTCGGAACATCATGCCACAGTGGATCCCGAGAGAGGAAAACGTAAAGCGAACTACATTTGCTGAAGCTAACATACAAGGTTGTTTTGGTAATAATTCAAGCCACAAAATGTATTTACTAAGATGTTTGAATTTCGGCGACTGTTTCATGACCAGTTAGCACCATGTCATGCCCTCGTCCAATAACCAATCAGCCTGGCGCATGAGGGCAGACACTATAACATCCTGTCTGGAGCTCCGTACCTGAGTGTTCCATTGTCAT